CTCCAGGTGGGACAGTGTCGCCGGCCAGACTCCCGCTGTGTAGCACACTGATGCGCTCCTGATTTTCCAGTGCCGTCACACTGACCCCCACGGCTCTGCAGGTCTGTCCAAACCAGGCCCTCTCAGTTTAAGGCACCTCTTACCCAGCTGGATGAGGGTGTACATCAGGCCCAGGAGAGACACCAGGAAGTACATGGCAAACACGTTCTTCAGCCTCAGCTTCATCTTCATCACCGTGGTCGCCTCGGCCCCCCCCTGCAACGACAGGAAGACAGAGCTGCACCTCAGACAACAGCGACTCTCTCCGTGCCGGTTCTCAGCGAACAGCACAGCCCCGCTTCTCGCCCTCAGAGCCCCGTCTGGAGGAATACAACTCTCGCCCCGAGAGCCTGGCCTCCTGGGTTTCCCTGTCTCCCCTTCCACAAGTCAATTAAACAATCAACAGTTTCCCAAGGCTGCAGATCACCCAAAACACGCAAGTCTCTAAGGGCGCCGTGCAGTTTCGGACCCGGGTCCACGAAAACCGCACTCAAACGCCTCCTCTGTCTGCCGAACTGGATCTTTCCCAGTTCAAACGCACTGGCGGCCGATAAAATGAATAAAAAGCACACCGCTACCACGGCGCCTGCACACGTCTGGAGGAAAAAATCTGCTTCACTCTTAACTAAAAATAACTAAACGTCGGTGCAAGGCAGGAGAGGTGATAAAACAAACTCCGTTATCTGAGGTCGTTTCAAACCGATTTCTTATTCTGCATTAGCCGGGCTCCAGATATTTACGACCAACGGGCGCCAGTCGTCACTAACGTCAGTAATCTGCTTTTAAAACGCGTCTGTTGCTGGTTTTGACATTTTCTACCGATTCTCTCCCGCATCCTTACCGTCTACCGAAACCTGAAGCGTTTTTCGTCTCTCATGACAATCAGTCTTGAGCTCCTTAAAGCTTGAGAATGCAACGCAACATCATCAACCGAATCCATTCATTTTTCGTAGCGATAAATACCAACAACTTCCGGTACGGCTGTCCCCCATCGTCATCCTTCCCGCTGCTCCGGCGAAGCACTGGGCTCCATTCATTGGTTCCGGATTCATGCGATAGCTGACAGCTCCATAAGACCTCCATAATTGTTAGTGTTACGAACGTAAAATAATTCTTTTGTGTTTTATAATTAGAAACTTTAGAAAATTAGAAAAAAAAATCATAAAAATGTATACATTTTAATCGACTCATTAAAAAAAAGCATGCACACATGTAACAATGGAGAAGTAAATGAATTCTTAATTGGTGTTTTCTTTCTTCTTTATAATGTTGGTGCACAATGAGCGGTTCAGTCTCACTTCCCAGAAATCCTCAACGCTGAGGGCCTTGTCGGGCTGGATGAAACAGTGGGACTCATCGCAAGTCTTGGAGTCTGAGCTGTGAGTCAGTACCTCTACACACACATCCACACCAAACCAAACCCACTCTTGTACAGGCAGGTCAAGTCAGTTGACTTTTACTTTTGGTCTTCTAACAAAAAGCAGCGACAGGAGCCGTTTACAATGTCATCCCCTCTGGAAGGGGGTACCTGTGAACCCCAAACCCCAGTCATCACCCCTATCTGATCAGCGCGTGCGAGTTCAGGGCGTCGGTCTTCGGCGGTGTGGCTCAGAACAATTTTAATTAAACTCTCACCAAAGGATTAGGAGTGGAAAAATATTTTAGAAGTTCATCAAGTTTCTTTTTATTTGTAACATACAAATAAAACAATTACAAAGCTGAAATTGGATGTTTCCCTTCGTTATCAACTAAAAAGCACAATATCAGTTTCATCTTTGAAACCTTCTTCGTTTTTCACCTAAAAGGTTCAGGGTAACTAATGAAGACAGAATATATACAAGGAGAGCCGTGCTCAGCTATATAAAAACGACAGGGGGAGGGAGGGGAATAAGCACGTTATAACAAGAGGACGGAAATTAAAAACTTTTGTTCCTACCGATTTTCGCATTTTCACAGAAGCCCTGATCCCTTTACTGAAAGCATCACCTCTCTCGTTTGCCCATCACCCGTTTTTAAAGTTTCGTAGTAACAGGACAGCATCACGGAGCTGAGAGGCATCTCATGTCCCACGGGACAATAACGGGACTCAGCACAGCCCAGTTTTGGGGTCCCCAGTGCCCGGCGTCCGCTGGCCTTTCAGGCACCAGCTGAACTGCCGAGCTCTCGGTTACTCATGAGAACCTACGTCACTTAGGAACCTCTGTCACTTCAGAAACCCAAAACATTTAGACTCGTGGTCAAACCAGGAATTCAATAAAAGGTGAAATCAAGCAATCGAGAGCTCGGCTGCACAGACACCCGGGTTCTCAGAACCAGGACTGGGAAACCTGTAAGCAACTGGTCTGTTTCGGGGTAACCCACCACTACTCCTCTAGATCCCCGTGTCTGGCTTAAAGGAAAACTTTCATTTCAAATTTCAGGGATGGGTGGCCATCTGAATATTTTAGTGAAGACGTCGGCACTCGAGGTGGGCAGATTTCACTCGTGCTCAAAAGTGCCTTGAAAAGTCCCAGAGGCATCGGAGATGGAAAGGACCCAATGAAGCCCGTCCAGACCTTTTAGAACTGAAGACAGTTGTGGGCCACTGAGAGGGCAGACACGGTGGACACACGCGCCCCTCACCGAGAAATCCCACCTGCGCTGGCCAGGGGGGCGGATCCCGCGGGCTCTCACCGCGGAGGTCGGGCAGCGAGTTTGCGTGGGCACCTCGGCCGGCCGGCCAGCCACCGGGGCGGCGCTGTGGAGCAATAGAGGAGGAGGTGGGGGGGGCAACCGATTCTGCCCGGCCTTCGTGTTCCGGGATTCGGCCAGATCCTCCATCCCGCGGGAAAGCGAGCCGAGCTCCCGGCGGGTCTCTGGGAGGAGGAGGAATACTGGAGACCCCGTCATGGCCGACAAGGGGAGGAAACCCAGCTCTCCACTACCGACGCGCTGGAATCCCACATCGGCAGCGAGGAAGAGGATGTGCTCCTTCACCGGCTGTGAGGGTGACCCACCTCAAGCCAGAGAGGGATCTGGTCACTCCTTGGGAATGCTTCCCAGCTAACACAGCCCTGGGAATTTCCCCCGGAGGAACCCGCCACCGGGCCCCCCCGACACTCAGCTGGATCGGCTCTCGACTCAACGGGGCCCAACGGGTGGGGGAGGGGAGGAGGACCAGTCGACTGGCATCCGGTCGGGCTCGGCCCACGCCGACGGGTTTCCGATGGGACAAGGCGCCGGGGGGTTCGAGCGGAGCCGTGCGCTCCCTCTCTCTCTCTCTCTCTCTCTCTCTCGGGGGGCGTGGCGTTCCGCTGAGGTGACAGGAGGGGGTGCAGGATGTAGGGCTGTGCGGGTCTTTACCCCAAGGGGCACCCATTAAAAACTTCTGCTGGAAGAGGTGGGGTTAAGAAAGAAACACAGACAGGGGCACTTAAGAAAGGACTGGGATACGACGGGGGGGGTGTTTGGGAAGGCGGGGGGGAGGGTGCCCCCTCCCTCAATGGCAGCAGCCCCCACAGTGTCCCCCACTGTGCGCGTGCTGGACGCCCTCCCCGAACTTTGTTCTCCGGCTCAGAATCTCATAGGAGCAGTCATCGCCACAGCAGCCGGACATGCTGGGGGAGGTCTCGTCAATCTCGAACCTGTGTTTCCGGAGAGGGAGAGAGACCGTGAGCACCGGGGCAGTGAGAGGGGGGACCAGGGGGTGATGAGCGAACGAGAAGAGGTGTGAAGCATGAGAACAGATGTGAGAGAGGCCATTCCTGCATGAGACAGCAGGCCGCCGACTGGCCGCTGAATTAAAAGTCATATTTCCGCATGTGCAGCACGCAGGTCTCTCAGTTCCCCGCAGTCACTGAACACATTCGTAACACAAACTGCACAACAGACCCATGGAAAATCAGTCAGAAAACTCCATGTTTACATTCTTTCTAAACTAAACACGTATTCTACATTTTCTCGATTTGACACGAATATCCCTCCCACCTCCCACGTTGGCTAATGCGCTAGAGCGAGGTCTGCCTGGATGAACAGGTATTAAAAAAAACCCTTCAAGAGATGGCAAACGGACCCCAGGACGAAGCTGGGCAAACCCAACCCATTCCTCTCGAGCGCAGTCGGGGGGCCGGGGGGGGGGGAGAGACGGGCACTTACTGTAACGCTTCCCTGAAGAACTGGTAAGCACCGTGATTGTGTTTGAATACTGTTAACACCACCTTCTTCATCTGTGTGCTAGAGAGAGACGCAGGGGCGGGGGGCATGAGAGAGCAGGGGAGGAGAGAGAGGGGACAGTCAGTATTCATCTTCGGTACAGAGACAGCCTTGCACCCGAGCAGTCTAAGGCAGCCTCTTGTCCAATCCCATCCCCAGATTCCCCCCCTGTGTAACTGTGCCCTGAAGCCCCCCAGGGAGAGCAGGCCGGAGGGCTCACCTGTTGGCAATGAGCTGCAGGATCTGGATGAGGAACTTCCCCAGGCCTTTCCTCCGCACTCGGCTCTCCAGCTGCACCTCGTAGCTGCGGGGAGACGAGACGGCCAGGGCGACAGGACAGAGAGACGCGGGGATTACGATCACACACAAAACGACCCTGTCGATGGTCACCGCTGCCGTCTCGCTGCCCCCGGGTCTCTGGGTTTCATTCTGGACCTGGGGGTGCTGTCTGTGTGGAGTTTGCATGTCCCCCCCCCCCCCCCCAGGTTGGTGTGGGTTTCCTCTGGAAAGTTCCCTCCCCCATGGCCAAAGACTCACTGGTGGGTTAATGGGCTTCTGGGAAAACTGGCCCTGGTGTGTGCGTGTGTCCTGTGATGGACTAGCTGTACCCTGCCTTGCTCCTGGTGCGTGCTGGGATAGACTCCAGCCCCATTGTGGCCCTGTCCTGGATAAAGCCGCTATCCAACAGCTGGAAGGACGACTGCTTTAACCGCGAATGACAGCAGTTCATCAACGAGCGAGTCGATGCCCGATTCCCGGCAGGTGCAGTCGTGACGCATCTGACCGATTCTCCTCACGCCGCCACGTTTGCATGAGGTGCCAGACAGGAACGGAGGGGGGGGGGGGGGGGGGGCGCTGTCTCACCAGTACAGGACCTCGTCCCCACACTCCACGTCGAAGCGGAAGTGGGAGAAGGCCACGGGCGCGGCGCTGCCGTCCCGCGCCAGGAGGTACCAGGCCCGGTCGTCCCTCATCTCCTCTCTCTTCTCCCGCTCCTTCCAGCCCCACTCACTCTGCTCGTACCTGCGCCAGGGAGAGGGAGAGAGAGAGCAGGCAGGCCTCAGACGAGCGCCGCCCGGCCGCCGACGGACCTCCACAGCGTGGCTGGCCAGCTCGTTCCCCGCTCCCACCAGCCTCGGTGTAAACACACGCCGGCTGTGCCGATTAAACAAGCTCATCCAGCCGTGCCTTGAAAGACGCTAGGGCCCCGGCTTCCACGGCGTTACTGGGAAGCTTGTTCCACACCCCTACCACTCTTTGTGTAACCACATCGCCCTCCCTCTACTTGGTTTAAAAGTACCCTTCCCTGTAGTTTCCACCTGCATTCTCTGGTTCATGTCTCACTGACGGGAAATGAAGAAGTCCACTGGACTGGCTTAAATATTTCACCTCAACACACCAAGTGGACGACTCACTCCTCACTCCTGGCCTTTGTTTCCAATCCATTAAAACGTTTCCCATCCAGACACGTGAATTGTTTTCACATGCTGACGGCAACTGAAGAATTAAAACGTCCAGGAGAAACGCAGTCAAAAGACTCCTCCTGACCTACATACGCCACACGTTTCTTCTCTGCGCACACCTGTCCCTGCTGTCCGAAGAACTCCGTCCAGACCATGGAGCAAGAGTGGCCTTTCCTAAATCTTTCTCTACCCGAGAACCCTGCCAGTGATCCGCTGTCCCGAACTCCGGCTTCCACAGCCCTGCAGCTAAGAGACGTCAGGCTTGCTGGCCTGAATCTGGTACTACTGCACTCCCTTCCCAGCCTGCGGTGAGCACCCTTGTCCAGAGAGGCTGCTGGGACAGGTTTGCTCGCGACCAACAAGTCACGTCGCCCGTTTCTGTGAAGTCCGAGGGCGCCGCCCCATCACTGGCCTGAGCTCGGCCCGTCGCGCCAGGGTGCTGGCCTACTCTCCGGGACCCGGGTACAACCCCTCCCCCCCGGGTACTCACAGCGCCTGCATGTTGCTCCGGGTCAGCTCGTAGGCCCACTCCAGCGTGTCCGAGCTCAGCGCCGAGACCCGCCTGCACTCGATCGTCAGGTCCAGCCTGCGGAGGGTCACAGGGTCAGTTATGAATGCCCTGCTCAACGCAGGCCACTTCAGCTCCGTCAGAATCCTCTACGCCTTGACTCTCCTTTACTGACCATCAGCTGCATTAGAATCCTCTACGCCAAGACTCTCCGTTACCGAGCAAGAGCTGCATTAGAATCCTCTACGCCAAGACTCTCCATTACTCTATTGAGAGACAAAAGAGAGAAAAGGCTGCAGGTCCTGTCTTACCCATTTCTATCGTATTTCTTAAACACGGGAAAGGCAGTTAGGGGGTCTTCGAGCTGCAAGGAAAAAAACAAGATTAAAAGCTCATCAACCTCCTCTCTACTGTGAACAAAACAACAGGACAATCCAGACACAACGAATTCACAAAGAGCTCACCATCTCCCTGTAAGGAATGCCCTTGTTGATCTGGCTGTTAGTGAGCCTGCGCACACTTGTACAGGTGTGCGAGTGAGTGTGTGTGTGCGCGTGTGCTCATGCTTGTACAGGTGTGTGTGTGTGTGTGCGAGTGAGTGCCAGTGTGTGTGTGCGTGCGTGCGTGCACAAGCTTGTACAGGTGTGGAAGCCAGTGTGCATCCGCTTGTGCAGGTGTGCGAGTGAGTGTGCGAGTGAGTGTGCGCGCTTGTGCAGGTGGGCGAGTGAGTGTGCGCGCTTGTGCAGGTGGGCGAGTGTGAGCGTGTGCGTGCGCACTCTTGCACAGGTGTCCAA